CACAGTGCTTTACGAAGGAGATCAGTATCATTATCCGCATTTTACAGGTGGGGAAATGGAGACTCAGAGATGGAACTTGACCATAGTCAACCAGCAAACCAGTGGCAGAGCCAGGGACATATTTTCTGAGTCGTTGTCTAATCTCCCTTCACTTGTCCACACTGCCTCCCCCCACATGAAGACAATGTGTCCTGTCTAGTCTGTTCAGCTTATACAGTAATGGCTTCTTATGTCTCTCCCGCCCAGGATAGGTTCTGCCATTTTCATTCCCATTGGGCTGGATTGGCACCTTGCAATTCAGGAAGTAAGTAATGCAAATAAGGGGCATTGTATAGCTGTACTGACCCATGAGCAGGCCTGGGATGGGTTATGACTTCTGATTGAACCCATTGAGTGACACTTCACTCTGTGAGTCATACCATTGAAATTAATGGGGCTACTCATGAAGTCTGCTGTCACTGAACCCAAGGGTAGCAGAATCAGCCTGTCTAAGGTAGCAGAGCGTGAATCATAGAATCATAGAATATCAGGGTTGGAAGGGACCTCAGGAGGTCATCTAGTCCAACCCCCTGCTCAAAACAGGACCAAACCCAACTAAATCATCCCAGCCAGGGCTTTGTCAAGCCTGACCTTAAAACCCTCTAAGGAAGGAGATTCCACCACTTCCCTAGGTAACTTATTCCCAGGGGTGAAAGTAAGTCTAGGGATTTACAGGTACGAGGCTGGACTGGGGCCGGTTCTGGCCCCCGGAAGGGGCGGGGCCTCGGTGGAAGGGGCGGGCTGGGGGGGTCAGAGCCAGGGGTAACAGCAGCAGCCGGGGGCTCTGGCAGTGGTTTAAATGGCCCAGGGCGGTAGCGGCGGCTGGAACCCTGGGCCCTTTAAATTGTCCCCAGAGCCCCACCGCCGCTTCTCCAGGGCTCCAGCAGCAGGGCTCCGGGGACGAGGCTCCGGCCGCCACTACCGCCTGCGGCCCTTTAAATCATCCCCGGAGCCTGCCGGAGCCCTGGGGAAGTGGCGGCGGGGCTCCGGGGACGATTTAAAGGGCCCAGGGCTCGGCTGCCGCTACAGCCCCGAGCCCTTTAAATCACCGCCTGAGCCCCGCCACCGCTACCCCAGGGCTCTGGCAGCAATTTAAAGGGCAAGGGGCTCCAGCTGTGGCTGGGAGCCGCAGGCCCTTTAAATTGCACCTGGGGAAGCCGATCCACCCCGGTACGGCGCACTGGCTCTTGCTGGTATGCCGTACTGGGGCGTACAGGCTTACTTTCACCTCTGCCTATTCCGGTGCTTCACCACCCTCCCAGTGAAAAAGTTTTTCCTAATATCCAACCTAAACCTCCCTCACTGCAACTTGAGACCATTGCTCCTTGTTCTGTCAACTGGTACCACTGAGAACAGTCTAGATCAGGGGTGGGCAAACTTTTTGGCCTGAGGGCTGCATCGGGTTTCGGAAATTGTATGGAGGGCCAGTTAGGGGAGAGGGTCGTGGCCTGGCCCCCACCCCCTATCGGCCCCCCCCCCAGGACCTCTGTCCCATCCAACCCCCCATCTCCTTCCTGATGCCCCCCTGGGGACCCCTGCCCCATCCAACCACCCCTTCTCCCTGTCCCCTGACTGCCCCCTGCCGCCCCATCCAACCCCCGCTTCCTTCCTGACTGCCCCCCCCCGGGACCCCTGCCCCCATTGAACCCTCTGTTCCCGTCCCGACCCCTATTCACACCCCCACCACCCCGAATTCCCCTGCCCTCTACCCGACCTCCCCTGCTCCCTGCCCCCTGACCACGCTGCCTGGAGCCAGGCCACACTGCTGCAGCCATCACCACGCAGCCCAGAGCACCGGGTCAGGCCGGGCTCTACAGCTGTGCTGCCCCAGGAGCTCACAGCCCCACCGCCCAGAGCGTGGCACCGGTGGTGAGGTGAGGCTTCAGGGGAAGGGGGATAGCGTGGGAGGGTCTGGGGGCTAGCCTCCCCAGTCAGGAGCTTAGGGGCCAGACAGGAGGGTCCTGTGAGCCGTAGTTTGCCCACTTCTGGTCTAGATCCATCCTCTTTGGAACCCCCTTTCAGGTAGCTGAAAGCAGCTATCAAATCCCCCCTCATTCTTCTCTTCTGCAGACTAAACAATCCCAGTTCCCTCAGCCTTTCACCATAAATCATGTGCTCCAGCCCCCTAATCATTTTTGTTGCCTCCACTGGACTCTTTCCACATCCTTCTTGTAGTGTGGGGCCCAAAACTGGACACAGTACTCCAGATGAGGCCTCACCAATGCCGGATAGAGGAGAATGATCACGTCCCTCGATCTGCTGGCAATGCTCCTGCTTATACAGCCCAAAATGTCATTAGCCTTCTTGGCAACAAGGGCACACTGTTGACTCATATCCAGCTTCTCGTCCACTGTAACCCCTAAGTCCTTTTCTGCAGAATTGCTGCCTAACCACTCAGTCCCTAGACTTTAGCATTGCATGGGATTCTTCCATCCTAAGTGCAGGACCCTGCACTCGTCCTTGTTGAACCTCATCAGATTTCTTTTGGCCCAATCCTCATGGCCTCCGGCTTTGTAGACCTTTATCAAAACTCCATCCTTCTGTCATTGAGAAATTAAAAAATATTGCAAAAAATGCAAAGGCTGCTGTTTATACAGGGCCTGTCTGCGCACAATGGGTGAAATCCTGACGTCAGTGGGAGTTTTGCCATTGATTTAAATGGAGCTAGGATTTCACCCCATCTCGCACTCCTGTTGGTTCTGCGGTGGGGGTTTGTCAAGTAATATTTTACACAGAGCTGAGCTAAAAGGGTGGTATCATAGAAACGTAGCTTTGAAAGCCCCCCTCCTCACTCCCCCATGTTAAGGCATGATTAACTATGCCTGTATGATGAATGCTGCTGGCACAAAAGGAAACAGATGAAAAAGGGTTCAAGGCACTAAATGTGGCTGTGGATCAGGATTTGAATTTTAAATACCTTCGGGGTGTTGGGGGAGGTGGGTGTTCAGATCTTGTATTTCAGTTTGGATCCCTCTTTCAAAAGGCCATGGTAATTTCAATCTCTATTAGAAACATATGGTAGAGAAAACACTGCCTGCTCTATGGAGGGTAAAACTGAGAGGGAAAGAAATGTTATTGTCTAACTTCAGAATGTGCCAAAAGGGGGGAGTGATGCCAGACGCTGTACCTTATAAGGGAGAAAGCAGCAAAGATTAGAATGGAGCTCACTGAACATGAGCAACCTGTTTAAAAACCATTATTTTTAATGTACCACCTCTATCTGGATTATACTTATTCCTTCTTACGTAACCAGGAGCAAACCTTTGAGATGCAATTATCTTCTTTCATTGAGGTCAAGGACTGAATAACGTATAAAGCCTCCCACTTCTTAGCACCTTGCATAGTACATTATAATGCAAATACTGTACATTGCATATGGGGAGACTCAGATAACAGCACAAAGGTGAATTGCACAAATCTAGCATTAAAAAGATTTCATGAGAAATCCTGTACTGTAGTGTCTATAGGTTAGTGAGGTAGGAGACTGGCTGTATGAATGGAACCTATCCTCATTGCACTGATTTCTGTTGTACTGTGCTGTACGTACCCAAACTATCTGTCCTCTTATAACTAGATTAAAGTTGAATGAAACCAGGAGAAGAATCATGGAATAACAGGGTTGGAAGGGACCTCAGGAGGTCATCTAGTCCAACCACCTAGTTCAAATCGGCATGGTCTGTGTGTGATCAAGGCTGAAAGGTGGAAGGTCAAATGCCCTTTTTGTTCCAGCAGTAGAGTTAGCCACTCATAGTAATAGAATAGAACTGTACGTCCATTGAATATTACTTAGGAGGACAAAGGGCAAGTACTATGCCATGGCCAGCAGGGGCCACACCCAGAAGTCCTTACTCAGAGCAACCTCTTATTTATGTCATTGGGGGTATTGCCTAAGTCAGGACAGTTTAAATGGGAGGCCAGCCACAGCCTGTCACCTTTACTCCCATTGAGGAAGCGCCTTACTCCACCAGATGGAAAACACTGCCCGGGGCATGAGGCACGAACACATTGTTACAAGGAAGGCAGGTTTGGGGACGAGGAAAGAGTTCAGGAGTTGGACTGGGATATTTTAGGCCCTGCTTACCTGGGAAGCTTTACCGGTTATACAGATATATTTATACCCGTTTAACCCCGTGTAGGGACACTCTTCTACCACAATGTCCACACAGTGGTTAAACTAGTGTGACTATATCTGTTTAAATTCACAGCTTAGCTTAGACCAAGAAAATGTCCCTGTACAGAAAAGGCCTTCGAAGCAGAAATCAAGGGAGGATGCAGCGTGGGAGGGGTTTCAAAGCCAAATCTTCCCCTTAGAATCTATACATGGTTCTCGCCATACAATGGCAGAAGGGTTTCAGAGTGGTAGTCGTGTTAGTCTGTGTCAGCAAAAAAACAAAACAAAAAAAGCCAAACAAGGAGTACAAGTACAGTACTCCTTGGGTTTTTTTTTACTGGCAGAAAATGTGGTTCACAACTGCCTCTGTAGCACCATCCCCTATCCCTGGAGAGCTCGCTGTGATGTGTTAGATCTGTATACAGGAAGGGGGTGGTCTGGTGGCAGGACTGAAGAGCTGGTAGGAGGAATATACCACACAGACCTTCCTTCCCAGAGGTGAGCCCAATGGCAAGAACCTGAACCTGTATTAACTTTTCTGGGAAAACCTTCTTTGGTTTGAATCTTCCCTGACCTTATAGGATGGAAGGTCCCAAAATGGTGGCAGATGGATAGTCTTTGGGAGCAGGGCTGGTGGTAGGGTACCATTATTGTGGGGCAAGTGGGTATTTTGTGGTCCCTGGATGTTGCTATTTTAAAAAACAAACAACCTTCCAGGCATTTGGGAGCTAGTCAGAACCCTGGACAATCTTCAAAAAAAGGAGTACTTGTGGCACCTTAGAGTCTAACAAATTTATTTGATCATAAGCTTTCGTGAGCTACAGTTCACTTCATCAGCTGATGAAAGCTTATGCTCAAATAAATTGGTGAGTCTCTTAAGGTGCCACAAGTCCTCCTTTTCTTTTTGCGGATACAGACTAACACGGCTGCTACTCTGAAATCTGGACAATCTTGGAGTTTAAGAGTTTAAAAAAGTAAAATTTGGCTATTTTGTCAGTATTTTGCTGTGATTTATAATTTTGGTCTTTCTGACCAGAATTTGGGTACCCTTAAAGATTGTTTGGTGGGGCAAATGTCCCGCCGGTGGCACCAGGCCTGCTTGGGAGCAGTGTGAATGTGCAGGAAGGGGAGCCCCAGGGTCCATGCAGGGTGAGCAGTGTCTGACGTGCAGAATGCTGTGTCCTTCAGCTGATCCGAGAGATCTGAGCTCTGATGCCTGTTTGTTTCATCAGGGTGGGGGAACAAAGCTACCCCCCCCTCCAATGGAATAATCTGGAAAGCTCAATAATGGTTACTTTACAGTTTCCCTTTCCCACTCTGGCAGACCCTGGGTTTGCATGGGAGGAGTGACCCAGGTCCAAAAGTGGAACTTTCTCTAAAGCAATTACTGAGTTATATACTGTAGCCTCCTCTGTGCAGCAATAAATTCACAGGCAGCGACAGCATCCCATGAAGTAATCTTTTTAAGGGGCTGAAGTCAATTCCACCCTCAGTTATTAAACAGCACGTGCTGTATTTTTGCTACAAACATACTTTGATCAGCATGGCAGTGTCTTGGCAGTTAAGCCATCCCACTGGGTAGTAATCCTATATGCTGCTCTCCACTGATGATATCATGTTTTATCTGCTACTGATCACCCATCTTTCAAGGCCCTGCTGTTTTCTGGCAGCCCCTCTCGCTGAGTTTTCTATGGGAAGCTGTAGGAGAGAAGGAGCTGTGTCATATTCATCTGTGGTGACCGCTTGCTAGATTTCCTCTGGCTCTTGCAGCATCATCTGCATTAGAGCTGACTGGGAATTTTTCATTGGAACCCCCTCCCCCTTTTTTTTTAAAATACTAATTTGCTGAAACTGAATATTTTCGTGGGTGCTGTTGAACCTTTCATTGTGGGAGGATCTCGCGACAGGATGGAATTTTTGGTCAAAACTAGAGTGAGAGAGACAAGCTGGGGGCTTAGAAGAGTTCACATCTTTGCTTCTGCCTGATTTAGAGCACGGGCTCACACCCATGTGTCCCACGTCCCAGGTGAGTTCTCTAATCATCACGCTGTTCTTAGATCTTTCTGGTTTTTCATGGAAAATCTTTCTGTTTCTGTCCTGGTGCAGGAAAAAAAAATTAAATCTCAAAACTTTTCCCAGGATGGGAAAATAGCTTCCCACCCAGCTGTTGTCAGCTATCCCTTGCAAGACTTCTGAATCCAGGCCAGGCCAGTGGTCACAGCAGCAGCACAGGCTGGGTTTAGTTAGATTGGCAGCGATTGAGCCAGAGAGAACTACAGGGTCCCGTCTGTGTCCATCAGCCTCAGTAAAGAATCCCTTTTCTGTACATTACAATGGAGTCCTCTCTCTTCTCTATCACTACATTGGCAACAAGGATGGTGTGCTAGACAGGTGGCTGCTCTGGAATAAGTTAGGGGTACTATAGGTTGACCTGCTTATGGGGCTGTTTACTGTATGAATATGTTGGTTTAGTTTAATAATAATCATAGAATCTCAGGGTTGGAAGGGACCTCTGGAGGTCATCTAGTCCAACCCCCTGCTCAAAGCAGGACCAATCCCCAATTTTTGCCCCAGATCCCTCAAGGATTGAACTCACACCCCTGGGTTTAGCAGGCCAATGCTCAAACCACTGAGCTGTCCCTCCCCACAAGTTGTTGGGCAAAACAGCAACAAGTGAAACAATATCTTGAGATAAGCTACCTTCCTGGTAACACTTCAAGGTGGTTAAGAGACCATGTCTGAGCTATTAACAGTAAAGATCCTATATCTTGGCTCCAGCGTGTTACAAAGCTTGCTTTGCCAATGCTGGGAACCAACAGATCAAAGAAACTATAGACAGTTAAAGACACACACTGTCCAGAAGTCAGGGGCAGTTGTGGTGGAGAAGCTATTCAGACTGACACACACAGACTGGGGATGTCACATGAAGCTCGGCCTGCATAAGCCATGATCATGAAGTGGTACATCTTAAGATAAGGTAGACTTGTATATAGACTTTGTCTGTTGTTTTAAAATCCTTTTTCTTTTATGTTATGCTTTATTTCTACTGTCAAGACTAAACACTGTTTTGGTTTAAGAAGGCTGTCTGGGCACTGTGTTCCCCACTGGTCTCAGACTCCTGAAGGGAAGAACCATGGGTGCTGAACCTAGTTGGATTGCAAGGTAAGCATGGCTGGTCCACAGGTTACTGTAGCCCAGGGACAGGTCTGAGAGCAGGAGAAGTGGGCAATTCCGCTCCACGAGAGGTGAAGGCACAAGGGCAGGCACCTTAGGAAGGTGTTCTCAGAGAGCGGGCGGGCAGGGGGTCGGGACACAGATGAGTGCACCCCACCCTCTGGAAGTGGGTAGTCGCACTCTGGAGGGAGTGGTGGCTCTATACTGACCCACCAAAGAGTGACCATAGAGATTTGAGGTGTCTTATGTGTTAGGGAACAGGGCACATGTGGGCAAACTGTCAGGGATCATGGTGCATGGGGCTGCAATGTGCCCCAGCAGGTTAACATACTGGCTCAGGTGCAATCACATGGCGGCCAGACTCGGTAGCCAGAAAGGCAAGTCCACGGCCTCCTCCTTATTGTTGAAACTGGTGTATTGCCATAGGGGATCCCAGTTCCTGACCCACAAGGAGCTGGAGGCAAAGAGAGGAATTTGGCTCTGTGGATAGATCAAGAAATTGTCCCCAAGGAGGGAAATGGTTTCCTCCTATACATGCAACTTGAGATGGGGACAGACACCTTGAGAAAGCCATGCCTGAGCTGGAGGGTAGGGGACCAGAATCCCTTCTATATGTCCCACTGGGTAACCAAGAGTTACTGCTTGAGTCCAACCAGCTTTGAGAGATTCTACGTTGGCAATGAGGATGGCATTGAAACACACTTGTGAAAGTTATGACATTAAGGTTCTCAAGGTTCCAAGCCCTGGTAATATTGTCCAATTGCTGCAGGGCTTAGAGCTTCCAGTGACCAATCAAATTCCTCCTTTCCTACCGCCAGTCTTACTTTGTGCGAAGAGTTAAGGCTTCCCCCAGAGTAATGGAAATACAAGAGAGTTAAGAACTTGCTGAATTAAAGGTCTGATACTAACTGATTTCAATGGGAGCTAGGGATGCTTAATGCCTCATGGCCTCAGTCTGTAGCTTTGCAGCATTAGTGAAGCCTGGTTGAAGTTTAATGAACATTCTCCATTAGGAATAGATGCTACCATGCTGCAAAACTTCGTTATCTGTGCTGCTGGGATATTGCAAACCCTACAGCACATGCTCCTCGCTCTAGCTGTCCTGCTGCTAGGTCCTGCTGTTTCCTTCCGTATTTATCCTTCCATTATCTGACCTGCCAAGACATGCAGTTCTTCTCCATATGATCACAGATTTCAGTGATCAAACTGAGAGCAAAATATCACATGTCTGCTGATGCTGACAAGAAAATAACCCCAACTAGTTTCTGGTACAATGACTAGTTAATTGTGCAGTAGGTCAATAAAGTAGGATGTTGTTTGTTGGTCTGTAACTGGTCTCTTTCTTTGCAGCTGCTGATTTCATCCCTGTGGCAAGGTGTAAATGCGCTCCAGCCTGCATGGAATTACTCCATTCCAGCCTATCACAGAGCTGATCTGGGTGGGGTTATAAAAGAAAAAGGGGAAATGATGTAAGGTGGCTATTGCAGAGGAAGGCTGTGCCTTCTCCTTTCCTGCTGGCTGTACCTGGAAAGACCTTGGGTGGTTATTTACCCAGTGGTTGGAGTTGATTTGTTCTGGTTTTGAGTCTTGGTTTTGGAAATAAAGCAAGCCCAGAAATAAGGGATGTGCAGTGACCTGTAGCTGGGACTCTTCTTTTTCCTTCCCCAACTGGCCAGTCTGTATGCTGCCGTAAAGACCCTTCCTCAGATAGCACATTATTGGCAGAAGAAGGAATAGAAGCCAAGAATGCAGACTACAAATCCCTTGGTTCAATCATTGCACACTACCACCTCCCAGCCCAACAAGAGGCTCCTACCTTTAGAAATAGGTGTCTTGGCCAGACATGTACAAAGCAAATGCCTTTCCTAAGGAAGGGTAACTTCTAAAGAAATGTATTCCAAATAACACTGTGCTGCGTGAATATGTAAAGTAACTGACTTAAAGAGTATCATCTTCCTGTCAGAGTACAAGATAATGATGGTTGTCTAACCACTTTTGGAGCAGAATTACCGTTATTCCCAAGCAGTTGTCCGTTGGATTAATAACAACCAGTGCTGGCGGAAAGAGAGATGCCAGGAGTAAATGCTTCCTCCTGGGATACACCTTTGGAAAATGACATCACGTTAACACCTTCTGATTCCTGCCTGGTGTCAAGAGATTGTGGTGTTGAATAAAAACACCCTGCTCTGCAACAGGAAAACAAAGCACATAAAATTCAAAGAGTTAGGATTCCCATGGAAAGGCAAAATCTGTATTGAACATGTGAAGGTTAAAAAGAAAGGAGCCAGAGGTATTACCAGCAATTTGGGGTTTACAGCAGCAATATAGCAAGGGGATTCTCCATCACTGGCCGTTTTAAAATCAAGATTGGCTGTTTTTCTAAAAGAGATGCTCTTTTGCAAAGAGGAATTAATTCAGGGAAATCCTATGGCCTGTGTTATACAGGAGGGCAGACTAGATCATCACAGTAGTCCCTTTTGGCTTTATAATCTATGAATCTATGACAGGGTCAGGCATAGGAACAGAGGCCTGTGTGCTATAGATTAACTGTTGTGTTATGAGCTTCCAATACAGATGCATTCTGGAATATGTTAGTTATTTGTACAGTCAGGTGATGGGGGAGGGCTGTATTTGCCAGTCAGAGGAGAGGATCGTAAACTTAAAGCTGGTCATAGCAATATGACTCTGCTACTTACGCTGTATAATGTTTTCCATATGCCGGGGGAATTCCCATCTGGACCTTACCTCACCTCCATACCTTCTACAGGCAGATGGGTAGCACTGGTGGATGTGTTTCTGTCAAGGTTCCTCCCCCACTCTGAACTCTAGGGTACAGATGTGGGGACCTGCATGAAAAACCTCCTAAGCTTATCTTTACCAGCTTAGGTCAAAACTTCCCCAAGGTACAAAATATTCCACCCTTTGTCCTTGGACTGGCCGCTACCACCACCAAACTAATACTGGTTACTGGGGAAGAGCTGTTTGGACACGTCTTTCCCCCCAAAATACTTCCCAAAACCTTGCACCCCACTTCCTGGACAAGGTTTGGTAAAAAGCCTCACCAATTTGCCTAGGTGACTACAGACCCAGACCCTTGGATCTTAAGAACAATGAACAATCCTCCAAACACTTGCACCCCCCCTTTCCTGGGAAATGTTGGATAAAAAGCCTCACCAATTTGCATAGGTGATCACAGACCCAAACCCTTGGATCTGAGAACAATGAAAAAGCATTCAGTTTTCTTACAAGAAGACTTTTAATAAAAATAGAAGTAAATAGAAATAAAGAAATCCCCCCTGTAAAATCAGGATGGTAGATACCTTACAGGGTAATTAGATTCAAAACATAGAGAACCCCTCTAGGCAAAACCTTAAGTTACAAAAAAGATACACAGACAGAAATAGTTATTCTATTCAGCACAGTTCTTTCTCAGCCATTTAAAGAAATCATAATCTAACACGTACCTAGCTAGATTACTTACTAAAAGTTCTAAGACTCCATTCCTGGGTTATCCCCGGCAAAGACAGAATATAGACAGACACACAGACCCTTTGTTTCTCTCCCTCCTCCCAGCTTTTGAAAGTATCTTGTCTCCTCATTGGTCATTTTGGTCAGGTGCCAGCGAGGTTACCTTTAGCTTCTTAACCCTTAACAGGTGAGAGGAGCTTTCCCCTGGCCAGGAGGGATTTCAAAGGGGTTTACCCTTCCCTTTATATTTATGACAGTTTCATGGTAGCTATGTCTAATCTGAAGCTGAGTAGTGTTGATTCATCAACAACAACATTCACAGCCTCCGTTCTTTTAGCGCTCTGCCCATTTCTAAGGGTCACTCCCTGTGAAAATACTGAATGAAGCAGCAACATTCCCTGGACATTCCTGGTTAGTCTGAATTGCTACAAGGACCAGGATGCAAGTGGTAGGCACAGCACCATCTGACATGAAGAGGGTCTGTGGTCCAGTGGATAGGCCCCCCTAGACTAGGCTGGAGAAAACCTTTTGTTCTAGTCCCAGTTTTGCCTCGGACCTTCTGTGTGGCCCATAGACAAGTGACTTCAAGGCTTTGTGCCCCAGTTTCACTTCCCATCCTTTGTTGGTCCTGTCCATTTAGACGGTAAGCTCTTTGGGGCAAAGACTGTCTCATACTGTGTTCCCATGTTGATTGGGTCCATTAGGCTCTACTATAATATATAATAATAATAATTAATAAATGCAACCCATCTCCCAGCTGCTATATCTGTAGGCAGTGAATTGCTATAAAAGATGTCAGGTCCAACCCCGTAGAGGCTAGTGCAGAATTGGTTCCCTTAAAGAACATTTCACTTGCAAGACTCCATGACAAGAAAATTTCGCCCTTTTAGTGCTTATTTTTTGGTGATTTGTCATTGCTGGAATGTGCTTAGATTGATGTCTAGGATCTGAGAACTTGCAGGTTGTATATCAGTCACGTACTCTAAAAGACTGCAGCTGTTCCCGACCAAATGTGTCTCCGGTCCAGCCCCTCCCTCCCTTGTGACCCTCCAGCTGAGTAACAAAATGGCGGATGATAGCTACTGCATATTGTGACTGATGCTGTAAATACAGTTTTTAAAAAATCAGGCTTAATAATAGTGTATTCCTGGCAGTGTATCTTGTTTATGTGAATTACAGCAAGCAGGCATTAATTAGGATAATTATACATGGAAAGGGAGTGCGCTCCACTACTGGAAGATGCTGGTGGAAAAAGCTGGCCACATTCATCACTGAGATTGATCAATGACAAAGAAACTCATCTCTCTAAGCATTTGTACAGTGGTTATCACTGAAGTATCCTTCTGAACCTTTTCAAAGGTACTCACTGCATCAGATAATTAGATGTTTCAGTTAACCACAGAGATGAGCTCAGGCTGCAGAATTCAGACTCATATCCGGGTCTCCAAATTCTGAGGCTATTCAGATCTGGAGTCTTAAATCTCACGCCCATCTCTGATCAAGTTACTAAATTTCCCCCTTGGATGTTGAGACATTTGCAAATGCTTCTGCAGGACAGAGAATATCAAATCTAGTAATGGTGAATAATTAACTCTTGAGTTCATCATCTTAATCCCAGCCCCTCTCCCTTCCTGCTGCTCTCACTGATACTACCTCTTCAGTCTGGTCATCCTAGCTCCTTCTGTCTCATATCCCAGCAGTCACTAAATCCTCCTGCTGCTCCTTCCACTAAAAACGTCAAATTCATCCTCCCCACTGACGCCTACACCAAGCCTTTTGCATCCATCCAAAACACAGCCAAGACCACTTTTTCCCTTTCTTAAATCACCAGCTCCCCTTCTGTATTCCCATTCAGTTCAAGCTTTCATCTTCAGAGAACTCCACAGTACCACTCCTACATCTCTGATCTCATTGCTTCCTACATCCCTCCTGCACTCAGCACTCTGCTCAAGTCTCCTTAACGTTTCTCTTGGTTTCCTTTATTCATTCCTGATTCTGTGCTGTCTTGCAAGCTGCCTTTGTATTTGGAGCTGCCACCCAATTGGCATTTATCAAGCAGCCTCCTTCACCTTCAGATCACCCCGAAATGCTACAGATCGGTCACAATCAAAATCCAGGATCCAAACACCCCCCAGACTCAGGGGTTGGGGGGAGTCTGAAATCTGAACCTAGATTGGGATTTCAGAGTCAGGGCACTTTTTCTATAATGAATAGAAACAAACCTCAGCTCTCAACCCCACCGTCCCATTGTCCATGGGTTCAAAATCCAGATTTGAATTTTACAGTTTAGGCCAATTTCTACTAAAAATCACAGAGCAGAGTTGGGAAAGGACCCAAGGGTCTTGACTCCTATCTGCATCCATATCACACTCCCTTCCATGTCATGCTACATCAGTTGCTTAACCTTAAAGATTGATTTACTTTAACACAAGAACATCTAAGGCTCAAATTTTCAAGAGAGTTTAGCATCCACAATCAGGGCCAGATTTTAACCAGAGCTCAGCTCCCATTAGGGTACTTAAATAAATGGCTAGGTCTTCCAAAAGAGCTCATCCTGTTGGGGCCTCAGTTCTTTCCAAAGTCAGGTCATAAGTGTCCCCGTGGGGGCTGCTGGGTACCAAGCACTGTGGGAAATCTGGCCCCAATTATAAGAGCTGAGCACTTGAGCATCTGGCCCTGAGCTCATTTGAACATCTGGCCCTACAATTCCAGATTAAATCGGTATGGGCTGGAGTTGCTCAGAACCTCTCCAAGTCAAGCCCAATGGCTTGAAGTCAGTGGAAAGTGCACATGCATCCAGAGGTGGATTTCAGGCAAAGATCCAAAAAGAGTAATCTAATGAGAAGAAACTAAAAATTCTGCAACAGCTCAGAAGCTGGCAAGTTGCTGCAAAAACATTAGCTTCTTCCTTTCGCTACTCTTTTCTTTATTTTATTTCTTTTAATATTTTATGACGGGTTGAATTAAAACTTTAAACTTTTAAGCCCATGAGTTGGTGTGTGAAGGCTCTTTCCCTGCCATTTGCTACAGCTGAAATTGTCTTTGTTTTGACAGCTCCACTGATGCTTGTAGAATGTCCTGGTATGGCTCTTCCTTTAGAAATACCAATTTTCAGGATTTAAAGGGGCAATGTCAAGTTTTTTAGGCCTCAAAATTAACACACTTGGTCAAGTAGCAAGTTAGTAGTAGTTAAATAGAATTATTTTAAGAAAAGCAAAATATATTTTTTTTAAAAATGAGATACCAAATAATTAGCAAAAATTGTGTGCACTTTACA